AGAGCTTCTCTTGGAAATAGGCACATTCTCTCAATCTCTCTCTCTCTCACACACACACACACATACAGGTCATCATCATCCTCCTCCTCCTCCTCCTTTGTTTGCAGAGACCACCATCATTAGTATGTAACTCTTCCTCACCCACCCACCCCCAACCCCTGCAATAGGACAGGACCACCAGGTCTCTGGAGCTCTGAGGCAGTGGTAAAAATATCTGCCAAGGCTGAGAATGGTATTTAATTTTAGGATGACTTGAGATGGAAACTCAAGACTCGACTCTGTGTTGCGTTGTTCAATGTCTGGATGCATGAAGAAGAATTACTTTGGAGACTCAGCTCTGATGTTTGAAAGCATGTAAAAGCATAGTGAGGGGTGAGCCTCTCCTCTCTTTCCTCTCCTGCATTCCGCAGAGTAACAGCGCGAGGAAACTCAGACTGGGTTCCAGACCCTGGAGGGTCAATTTTAGCTCAAATAGCTTGGAACTACATACGGCGTAATTCACGTGCTCTAGTGCCTGTGGCACTCCCTGGGCACCACATGCATCCTGACCCAGTGCTCAGTGCGGCTTGTTCCCCTTGCCATGCTCCAAACAATATGCACTGTGCGTGACTTAACTAGATTTCGAGTGTCTTCAGAGCCCAGCAGTGGCTCAAGTGAGAACACATACAGTTTCATTTCTGTCAATGGGCATCTATACATCGCAACCTTAACCTGCCAGACAGCCAGCCTTCACGGACATATGTAATACCCCTTAAGCACAATCCAAGGGTGCAACACCATTGTTCTCTTTAACCAACGTGTGGAACCTGAAAATTTTCATCTGAAAAACCAAAGCTGTGGCTTCGTTTGATGGAGAGAAAATATCCAGGACCAACTGAAGACTATTTAGCCACCATCCTCATGTCCAAACTCCTTTCAACCAATCTAAAAAGAATAATGATTAAGTAATTAATTGAAATTCTTCTTAATACATGGCAGCTTTGTTGGCAAACTAGACTGACAGAAACTTGAACACGTGAGATTCTGAAATTGAATAGCGTGTGTTAAATATTCAAAGAAGAGAAAGTGAGGATGTTATAAAGGAACTGGACGCCTAGGTCTGCCTCTAACAAATCTCCAGCTTTATTTCTTGACACCAACTATTGAGTCTCTTGAATGCTCAGTCATGTTCACAGCAATAAAGTTCTACTCGCCTCCCTGAGAGTCCCCTTCCAGAAGTGGAACCAGATTAAAGGTGTGCCCATATGCACTCTCTTTTTTATGTATAATCCTTTGAAGTGAATGACAAATCCTCAAAATAGTGGATCGGATTGCTCTCCAATAATTGGAAAACAAAATTCATGAATTAATTAACTGATTGATTAAAATAAAAGCCATATCATAGCAACCGCTGTCAATTGCCTCTTTCTTCCCTCTTCCTGGTCAACAATGTCCTCCCTGATCTTGACCAGGTAAGTACCACTCGAAGGAACATGACCCTCTCCCCAGCTCAGGGTAAAATCATGAACAGGTAGTAACTGATTGAACTCTTGGCAGGGACTGGTCCAGGAGCAGGCATGTGTTTCAGTTGTGACAAGATATGAGGGAACCAGGCTGGGGCCTTCGAGAGAAGGTTTCCTCACTCTTAATAAGAGATTTGATGGAGAGTCCACCAGCAGTAAAAACACAGTCCGATGTTGGATCTGCACATGACCCCTGAACCCCAGAAGCCATATTGTGCAAGATGAAAAGAGTCTTGATCCTTACTGAGCAGCTGAGTCAACCAACTCTGAAGCAGCCCTACCGTGGACTTCTTGCTTTTAGCAAGATAATTATTTTCCTCATGATTGAGGTTCCCAGTACTACAGTCAAAAGCATCATGACTACTACAGGTAATGACAGGTCCTTATAGATTGAGATGTTGAGAAATGACCCTCCACTCACTTCCTCTCTCGTTCATCAACCAAGATGAACTTCTTGGTTGAAGTGGAAACATTCATATATTTGAGCAGACATGGGTTAATGCTGCTCTAAAAGTAAGAGATACTAATGAATCTTACCAGTGAGTACCTTCACCAAAGAAAGAATAATTTCATGATGGCCCATTAGCCAAAATTTGACATGGGACCACCCATGAACATCCAGCTAGAGTGTTACTACAGAGCTTCAAGATGGCCTCATATTAAGAAAGAATGGAATGAGTACAATATTAGAAGAATACAGTCTTTGAAGCCCCTCGAGCATCACAGTTTTGAGAAAATAAGGACCTCACTGTACAGTAGCAGGTTCCAAGATTGCTTAGGCACAGAAACCACTGCTTTCTTCAGAGAGAACCTCAGGCAGAAGTTGGATGGTAACACTTCAGATTGAAGAGGGGTGGGAGTCTCTACTCTACCCACTCAGTCTACACCCCGCTGAGGGCCTCTGAGTCATTTCCACTGAATCTCTAGGACTCCCTGGGGTAGTTTTAGAAACAATGATCTAAATGAAGGATGAGGGACCATCAAGTTTTTTGGGTAATACTACTTTTTTTTTTTTCCTGAGGAGGATTCACCCTGAGCTAACATCTGTCACCAATTTTCCCGTTTTTGCTTGAGGAAGATTCGCCCTGAGCTAATACCTGTGCTGATCTTCCTCTATTTTGTATGTGGGTCACCACCATGGCATGGCTGCCAGAAAGTGGTGTAGGTCCCTGCCCGGGAACTGAACCCAAGCTGCCGAAGCACAGCGCAATGAACTTAACCACTAGGCCGTAAGCAAAGAAAAGACATAAAGTCCTAAAAGTTTAAAAAAACACACAAAAATGCTTTCATTTGTAGGAAAACATGCAAATCAATGGTGAAGTGCCCTATCAACACTGGAGAAATGGCCTCAGCAAGGCCAGTGAGAAGTTCCTCCCCACCTCTGGGTCAGGATTCTACCTATGTCCCCCAGAGTGGGGTCACCTGAGAATCTTGGCTGAAAAGAAAAAGAAAAAAAGAAAGTCTACCTAAACATAGGTTGAGATGTCTGCAGGAAGAGAGTAGAGAAATGTGGTCTACACAGGAACTGTAGTGTTCTTCACCGTCAAAAAGGTGGTGTTATACCACGAACACTACTAAAAGACTAAAGACAGCCTGGGAGAAAATATTTGCAACACATATTATGGACAAAACTTGAATATCCATACTATACGGAATTTAAAAATCAATTAAATTTTTTAAAAAGGTAACTCAGTATAAAAAATGGGGAAAGAAGATGGACAGACAATTCATAGAAGAAACATAGGTGACCAATAAATATATGAAAAGATTCTCAGCTTCACTCCTAATTAGGGAAATGCAAAACAAAACCATGAGACACCACTCTCTGCCCATTATGTTTGCAAAAATTTAAAAGACATCATATCCACAGTTGCAAATAAAGCAGAGAAATGGGCATTCTCACACATCTGATGGAAGTGTGAATTGGAACACAGTTTGGGAGGACAATTTGGCAATGTCTATCAAACTTAAAATGCAATTCCATTTTAGGAATCTGCCCTCCAGATATATTTGCACATGCTTGCAAAGATATAGCTACAAGGATATTCACTACAGCATTGTTTGTAATTGCAAACACACAGGAAACAATGTAAATGTCCATCAATAAGGACCGGATTAAATATATTCTGGTAAATTATAAAATAGAATCATGAGCAAACATCAAAAACAATGAGATAGATAAGTATGTCGTAGTATGGAAGCACCTGAAATGTGAAAAATGAATAAGGAAAGCAAATCTTCCAAAAGAATTTAAAAATAAAAGATAACATGTACATATCTTCTTTTAATATACCTAGTGCAATCCAGGAATACAGTAAATACCCAACAAATATTAAAAATATAAATGACTTGTAAATATTTGCTAGAGGAATGAACGAGTGATGAACAAATGAATAATGAATGTGCATGTAAACATAAGAAAAATTTGTTCAAAAAAATACACAAGGTTACCTCAGTGTAATGGGAGAGAATCACTTTTCATTTAATACTTTTTATAGATTTTTTTTTTGAGGAAGATTAACCCTGAGCTAACATCTCCTGCCAATCCTCCTCTTTTTGCTGAGGAAAACTGGCCCTGAGCTAACATCCATGCTCATCTTCCTCTACTTTATACGTGGGACGCCTACCACAGCATGACTTTTTGCCAAGCGGTGGCATGTCCACACCCAGGATCCGAACCAGCGAACCCCAGGCCGCTGAGAAGCGGAACATGCGAACTTAACCACTGCCACCGGGCAGGCCCCTATAGATTCTTTTTTAATGTTTACAGGCATACATGCTATTGTCACACTAACAGAAAAAGAAAAGTGAAGGGTCCACCTCTGCTTTTTGAAAAAGATGTTATCTTAAACAATAAAGAAAGATAAAGGAAAGACAAAGAGAATATTTGCAACATACATAATGAAGTTAATTCCACAAAACATAAAGAGCTCTTATCGATCAATAAGATAGAGACAAACAGTCAGAAAAAAATAATCAATAGCCAAATGATATGTGGCAGACACTGGTAATCCTCTACCCATCTATTATTATCTATTATTATTATTATCTATTCTGCTTTTTCACAAACAGAACCATATCAGAGGGTGAGGCTACCAATGTGTTTACTACCCAAAAGAAAAAGTACAAATGACCAAAAAGCACAGGAAAAGATATTCAATCTCACATAATCAGAGAAATACAAATTGAAAATAAAATACTTGGGTTTTTTGCTCATAACATAGCCTAAAAAGAAGAAGAAGATTTCTACTATCCAGTGTCGACAAAAACATGGTGAAGGGCATTCTGAATCAAAGTGGATGGGAGTGAAATTGGTACAGTAATTCGGGCCGTAACTCGATATGTTTATCAAATTTTAACATGGACCTAGAAATTTCACTTCTAGGAATCCATCCCACAGAATCCCTTACACAATTGCCCAAAGATGTATGTAGAAGAATGTACACTAGAGCCCTGTTCATTAGCAACAATCTGGAAACAATTCTATTTCTCCATCAGTAGAACTGTGAAAAAGAAGAGGAGTCAGGATCTCTGCTGGGCTAGAGCCTACGTTCCAGCGGCGGGCAGAGGAGACAGACAAGAACCAAGAAAATAAATAAGCAAGATGCATTCCAGTAGTAAGTACTGTAAAGGAAATAAAACGAGATGATGTGACAGAGCGTGTCTAGGGGTGCAGAGGGGAGCCGAGCAGAAGGGAGACTATTTTACATGGAGCCATTAGGGGAGGCCTCCCTGGAGGGTGACATGGAGCTAAGATCAGAATGATGACAGAGAACTAGCCCAGCAAATGCAAGGCCCCCTGAGACAGGATCGGAGGGAGATGCAGACCAATGAATAGGAGGAGAAAGGAACAAGATGAGGTTGGGAAGAAGACAACAGCTTGATGTTTAGGTCTTGAACTTCAGCCTTCAGATGAAGGGTTTGGGAAGCCACTGGGTTGGTAAGCAAGGAGGGAGATGACCCAGGCTGCTGGGTGCAGGATGAATTGTAGGAAATAATAATGGAGGAAAAAGAGCAGTTAGAGGTCCTAGCAAGATGTGCTGGCGGCTTAGACCAAATTGTTGGCAGTGGACAGTGAGCAGCGTTCAGATGTGGGAGTGTTTTGGAGGTAGAGCCTACAGCATTTGCTAGTAGACTGCACTTGGAGTCTGACAGCTAAGAAGGAATCAAGGATATCTCCAAGCCTTGGGACCTGAACAACTGGGTAAGATGGTGGTATGATTTGCAAAGATGAAAAAGCCTGGGGGAGGAAGAAGTTTAGTGGAGAAAGTGCAGAGTCCATTTTGGACTTGTGAAGCTTCAATGTCCTATGAGACAGGCAAGTACAGATAAAGTTGGAAATTAACATATATATTTGCAAATGCACAGAAAGAAATCTGGGAGGTTATCCACCTAACTGATAAAGGGATTCTCTCCAGGAAGTGAAATTGGGGGTGGAGGGAGGGGAGACGGAGAGGAAAGAAGCTATTTCTACGTTTGACTTTATGTACATTAATAAGGTTTGAAATTGTTACAATGAATATGTATTACCTTTGAAATTTAAATAAATGAATATAAATAAAAGAAGACTGAGTGATTTTCAAATTTTTCCACAGAGCCTTTTCTTCAAACAAAATCTTATCCAGAATGCTCTTCCCGCTGTCATCACGGAGGCCTCAGCTCAAATACCACCTCCTCAGAGAGCCCGTCCTTAACCACAGCATCTAAAGCTGCTCCACCTTTTCCTTCCTCCTAGTCACTCTGTCGCATTCCCTGTTTCATCATGCTCGTATCACTTACAACCCAAAATTGACTTGTCTATTTGTTTACTTGTCTTCCCTACTAGAATATAATGGTCAAGAGAGCATGGACGTTGTATATCTTGTTCTCCAAATATGTCTAGAATCTAGAACAGTGATTGCATACAGTAGGTACTCAATAGACACTTCTTTGATTAAAAATGAATTCCAATTTGCACTCAAGATAAAAAGCTGAGATATTTCAATTTAATTGAGATCAGGGGTCCGGAATCTTCCCATTATCTCTCTCTCCACTCCCTCCCCATCACTACTGGTCTGCCCTGCGCTATGTCCATGGCACCCCCAAGGACCTGCAGGAAACAGTGTAAAAACCACAAGATTGCCTGATGGCTCATGCAGTTCAGACCACAAGGGTCTGACCAGAGACCTCCTTCTCAGGAACCCAACGTTCCTCAGGTTCCATCCACCACCACCAGAATAAGTCTGGTCCAGACTCAGCTTTAAGCTCCATCCATCTCTGTCCACCTCACCTCCACCATCCTAACTGCCCTTACCCAGGCACTCCTCCTACCAGGCACTCCAGGTCATGCCTGCCACCCCTCTGCTGCTCCTGCTCACAGAGTCACCAGTAAATGTCAGCTGTGGCTCAGTCCGTGGGCACAGTGAATCCAGAGACAAGCAGAGCAGCGCCTGTCCTGCAGGAGCTGCATGTGGGAGATGTCAGGCCAGAGTCAATTCCAGCACAGTCCCCCGGCATTCTGGTGCCTCTCAAAGGCATGTGGTCAAGTCCGATTGGCCCCTGGTTCTTTCTCAAGCCTTCCTGATTGCCCTGAGGCCACAGAATCAGGACTAAACAAAGACTGGCAGTCTCTGTGCACTCAGTTGTTGTCTTTATGAGACATGGATGATGGCACTGCCCCACTTCCAAGAGAGGGACATGGCATCTGTCTGTCTTGCTTGGCCTCAGTGCCACTTCAAGCAGGCGTTAGCAGGCATCCCTGGGCAACGTCTTCTGCCCTTCCCGTGGCCCAGAGGGAAAAGCTCTCGTCCTCAGATTACACTTGCCCCCAGCCTCAGCCCAGGCCAGGGTCTTGCCTAAGTGCTCGCCGCCTGCCTTGGTCCAGGCCAGCATCTCCCAGCAAGGGCCCAGCACCGGGCCAGGAGCATAGCAGATATATAGTAACCCTACATAAAAGTAAGTCCCTGCCACTCTCAGGACCTTGCCACAGGTCAGAATCATCTTCCTTATGCCCATTGTCTCCCTCGGCTACTGTATGTGCATCTGCGTCTTTGTGGGCTGAGGTGGAACCTGGGGCAGGCAGAGCCTCACGGATAAAGCCAGGAGAAGCCAGAGCAGTGAGGAGGTCTCTTGCAGGCCTCACCACAGTGATTCTCCCAGGAAAGAGACAGCTGGAGGAACACGGCTGGCCCCCTTCCCCGGAGCCCAGCACACGGTGCTCAGGGGCCACCTGCTGGCAGCCGGGGGCATGTGTGACTCTGGGGGCAGGGCTGCTTAGGCCCAGGGTGTTTTCTGCAGGGACCACGTGCAGATGCACTCCAGTACATGGTGTGCATCCGTGCACACACACAAATATACCTCCCACATGTCCAAGTATGTATGTGCATACTCAGGGAGCCATGCATGCACACAGTGCTCGTGCAGACATGAGCCAGCCATGCAAGCACATAAACATAACACAGTTGCATGTGTGCTTATATGCATGCATCAGCACACACCCATGGGCACACAGGTACACACACACAAGTGTGGGTACTTGGGAGAGTGGCCCCTGACTGAGCCCCTTCCTCCCCCATGGCCCGTTTTGCAACTCCCTACCTCCCGGACATTACCCACACGGCCTCTGCCCTGTGCTCTCCTGCTCTTAGGAGGCAGGTTGTGCTCCTCCATGGCTCAGGGCCCAGGGGCTCCTCACACAACCTCAGCCCCACCTCAGCACAGGATTAAATGGCCTGCACCCAGCCTCCCCTCACCTGTGGCCTGTGTCTGGACAGCAAGTACGTGTGGCAGAGATGCCTCAGCTGCATGAGGACAAAGAATCGAGGGGCTCAGTTGATAGTAAGCTCAACTGGAGAGCAGTTGCCCACTAATCCCATAACAAGGTAGCAACAGCTGCACAGGTATGGGATCTAGAAAGGTGGGAGGTGATGCTCTTGAACTCTCTGGGAAGCTGAAGCCCTATGTTGACGCCTCCAAGGGGGCACTCAAGGGCTGACAGAGCCTCAGAAACCAGGTTCAAGGATGAGGAAGGAACCTACTATTTACTGAGTGCCTGCTGCGTGCAGGCATTGTTCTCATGCTATCTCATCCCGTCCTTACTGCCCTGGGAGGTAAGGAGTGTTACTAGTCTTCACAAGTGCCCTAACAACCACCACCAAGCCCCATTCTTTTCTTTCCTGAATAGCCATCAGATGTTTCCACTGATGCACCAAGGCTTGCCTGGGCCAGTGGCACAGCCTCCTAACTGGGCCCCTTACCCACTCTTGTCCCACCCAATCTGCCCTCCATAACAGACAGGTTTTAACAACACAAAGCTTAAAGTCTTTTCAAGGCTTCACTGACTTCTCGTTCTGAGGACCAAGACCAAAATCCTCCTCTCTCCCTTGCACCCTCACTCTCCTCTCCCGGCTCATTTATCACCCTAGCTCCTCCCACCCCTCATTCCCCACTGGTTGTTTTCAACATCTCTAATGCACCATGCTCTCCTCCTGTCTCAGGGGCGTTGCACAGGCTCTTCTCTCCACTTCCTATTCCCATCCCCTTGCCTGATAAGTCCTCCTTGTGAAGTCCTCCTTCACTCTCTCCTCACATGTCAGTTCCTGCCGGCTGTCTTCCTTGCCCTGGATCTCCCGGCCCCGTTAAGCACTCATAACTCCCTGCGGTGTTCCATCATAACACACAGCAGTGTGGTAACTACCTATGTGTGCTGTTAGGTGATTTCCCTCTGTCACCTCTGTCCCCTGGCTCTGAGCTCTGCAAGGGTAGACACCTTGTCTCTGGCTCACTCTTTTATGCCCAAGTTCCCAGAAATTGTACATGCTGGAGAAAAGGACATTCAAACCAGGTCCCTCTGCTTCCAAACAGTGTCCTTAATTCAAAAAGTGTCTCTGTGACCCAGAGGGAACAAAGCTGGCAGGGCAATGCCAGGAATGAGGACTGGTCCTTTCTGGATTCTGAGACCCCTGACCTTCTAGGTGAGTCCCTGGTTCGAACAATCCAATCAAGCCCATGCTTCCATCAGCCTCGGCACTCAGACTGTTCACGTGTTTCTACCTCAGCAAGCCTGTACTCTTATCTTTCTTGAACAAAATAATAACCATCTATTGGAAAAAAGCAGAGCTTATCTGCCATATCTGGTTGATGGATAAATGAAAACAGACCCAGTAACTAAAGAAAAGACCAGCTTGCCACAACTAGAAGGACCCACAACTAAAAATACACAACTATGTACTGGGGGGCTTTGGGAAGAAAAAGGGAAAATAAAATCTTTAAAAAAAAAACAAAAAAGAAAAGACCAGCAGATACTTGCATCGTCTTGGGGAGGCTGGGGGAAGCTTTCTAACCACAGAACCAAGGGCATACATAACAAAGAAAACTCTTACCAAGTGAAAATGGTAAACTTCTGTACCTCGTTTTAGATGTTCACCATCCAAAGGAAAAACCAAACCTATGAAGCTCTTGAGGACTCGTGCTTGGGGAACTCCAAGGTCGACAAGCCTCCTTCCAGGAGTGGCTACACAATTCACTGGACCCCTTATTCAAAAACTATTAAGAATTTTCAGACAGAGACAGCAGAGCAGTAAGCCAAGAGCAGAGCCTTTCTACGTGCAGGGACTTGTGCAACTACACAGGTCACATGCCCATGAAGACAGCCCTGCTCCTTCGCTCCCGAAAGCTGGGCAGGCCAGAACTACCCACGACACAATTTGACTCTGGAAACGTTCGCCCCCAAGCACCTCACCTGTGCCCAGTTCTTGCCCTCATGAAGCTCTGAGCCTAGAGGTAGAAGAGCTGTCAGGGCAGAGCTGAAAAGAGAACTTGGTGTGTCTTTACTCCCCTGGAGGCAGATGAGGTGGAGGGGCTCCAGTCCAGATCCCAAAATCACAGCGGAGAGCAAGGATGGTATAGCGCAAACATGGCCCCGGGGATTGTCTCACACACAGCACCCTGTGAATTACTTTCCTCACACTCGACAAAAGCCTGCGTGCATTTTGGAGGAGGGAATTAGAGAAAATCGGGCTGAAGAGAGCTAGTGCAGGTGCTGCAAGAAGGCGAGGGTCTTTGCAGAGCCTTGAGGTCCTCTGCAGTTTCACGCCAGTAAACAACACTCCCGTAACAGGAATTTTGATTGAGGCAAAATTGTCCCCCTTAAAATCACCCAAGATGACTCTGGCTCTCCCTGCCAACTTGGGTGGGAAGTTTGAGGGCTTCTGCTGCTATGTTTTCATCAAAGAAGGGCAAAGGAGAGGAGACCACGGCCACCTTCAACTCACCACATATAATGAAAATAATAGCTACCATTTGTTGTCTACTACACTGAACCAAGCACTGTGTTAAGAGCTTTTACATTTAATCTTCACATGAGCCCCCAAGGTATGTCTTACCCCTGTCTTGAGACTCTATGAAGGTTGATATTTTTATTTTTATTTTTATTTAACATGCATATAGCACTTACCATGTGCCAGGCACTGTTCTAAAAGCTTTATAAGTATTGACTCATTAAATCCACAAAGCCACCCTATAAAGTAGGCACTATGAACATCACTCCCATTTTGCTAATGAGGAAACTGAGACCAGAGAGTGAAGTGACTTGCTCCATGTCACGTAGATAGTAGCTGGTAGAACAAGGATTCAAACCCAGGCAGACTGGCTCCAGGATCCATGCCCCTAACTGTTATGTTGTGTTGCCTCTCCAGAATCAAAAATCAGACAGAATAGAGTGCAAGCTTAACTCCAATAGCCAGCCTGTTAATTTGTATACTATTTGGGTTTTATTTCCATAGCTACTTGCAAATATCAAGGTACTACATCATTCTTTCAAGAAAGCAGCTAGTGTGGATTAAGACGAGGTTT